ACTACTCTTTACAATATATAAAAGAATCAGCGAATTCTGAGATATCTTATCATCGTCGGTGTCCTATAGTGACTGTTTTTCCAATAGACTTGCTCTTAAGTAAAAATTAAAGAAAAAACAACAAAAGAAGCAAACACATTGTAAATATTAAGAGTAAATGCAAAATCAATAACCCTTGATGAAAAGATTTCTACGCATTTGCATATATATATATATACAAGCAGCGCTCATTCAACGGATTCTCCGACTCTTTTCTGAAAGAATGACACTTCATCATTAACTAAAATTAACCCACGATGGTCTCGTAGAATGTTTGGTGCTAGAGACACTTAAATGATGGAGCAATATATTCAATCATGATTTATTCTCTTAATCAAAAAATGAGTATATACAATGTAGAAGAAGAAAGAGGAAAAGAACTAGAAAAAGGAAAAGAATAGAATGGTATGCATGTGGGTGAAAGACATACTAATACCCACACATCCACAACCACTCCCACCCACACCGACATCTCATACCCATATCCACATTCACATCCTAACGCGATATCTTCAATATCAAGTGTATCACATTGAAAATCAAAAGGCTTTATTATCATCTACAAACAAAAACATGAAAAAAAACTTAGTCACACATTCAATCAGAAACTTCAGTTCTCCATTAAACCATCTTCGAAACCAAAATTCACGATTTTGTTCATTGTCCATTTCGCTCCATCAGTGCCTTCAAACGATCTTCAAGCTTCTTTCCGATTTCATTGTGTTTGAGATCTAGTGTGGTGAGTGTCTGTATGAAAAGGTGCAAATGGGAATATACAAGATATGAATCGAGAATGAGAGTTACAGTGTTATTTTGTAATGCATTAGCCAGATGTTCTGCTCCGTTGTCTCCGATTTGATTGTATTCGAGATTGAGTATGGTTAGTGTCTGTGTGAAAAATTGCAGATGGAGATATAAGAGGGACGAGCAGAGAATGAAGGTTACCGTGTTATTTCGTAACGCATCAGCCAAATGTTCTGCTCCGAGAACTCCGAGTTTATTCCAAGAGAGATGCAGTGTGGTGAGTGTCTAAATGAAAAGTACAAATGGAGGCATAAGAGGGATAAATAGAGAATGAATATCACCGTGTTATATCGTAATGCATCAGCCAGATATACTGTTCCGAAAGCTCCAATTTGATTCGAGGACAGATTTAGGGTTGTGAGTGTCTGTGTGAAAAAGTGCAGATGTGGATATGAGAGAGATGAAGAGAGAATGAGAATCACCGTGTTATTTCGTAATGCATCAGCCAGATGTTCTGCTCCGAGAGCTCCGATTTGATTACGGCCGAGATTGAGTGTACTAAGTATCTGTGTAAACAAATATCGATAGGGATATGAGAAAGATGAATAGAGAATAGGGGTCACCGTATTATTTTGTAATGCAACAGCCAGATGTTGTGCCCCGTTGTCTCCGATTTGATTCTCGTACAGATGTAGTGTGGTGAGTGTCTATATGAAAAGTGCACATGAAGATATGAGAGAGACGAAGAGAAAATGAGAGTCACCGTGTTATTTCGTAATACATTAGCTAGATGTTCTGCTCCGTTGTCCCCTATTTCATTGTATCTGAGATCTAGTATGGTTAGTGCCTGTATGAGTAAGTACAGATGAAGAATATGAGAAAGATGAATAGAGATAATGACAGTCACCGTGTTATATTGCAATACATTAGCCAGATGTAGTGTTCCATTGTCTCCGATTTGATTCTCGTACAAATGTAGTGTAGTGAGTGTCTGTGTGAAAAGTGCACATTGGGATATTAGAGAAATGAAGAGAAAATGAGGGTCACCTTATTATTGCGGAATGCATGAGCCAGATATTTTGCCCCATTGTCTCCGATTTGATTCTTCCAGAGAGATAGTGTGGTGAGCATCTGTGTGAAAAGGTGCAGATGAGGATATAAGAGAGATGAATAGAGAATGAGGATCACCGTGTTGTATCGTAATGCATCAGCCAGATGTTGTGCTCC